GAAATACTTGTTGAATAGAATCTGTTGAATGTGTAGATGAGACAGGGTGGATAAAGATATGAAATTACTGACCTATGGAAAAGGGACTTCCGTTGAATTTCATACATCGTTGTAGAAGTCAGGCAGTTCCAAAGACAACTAACTTGACAAACGGTTCATAAGAAATGTCACCATATCATTTTACACCTTGAAGAGGAGAGTTGAATGGTGTAATCTTGAGACGTAGGCTTACATCAGCCATTAGGATAACCTTCTGTGTAGCTAAGCTTATCATTGTGGAAGAAACAAAACATATGCTTCACCACAAACCTAAACACGCCATCAATCATTACGTCACATCCCATCGTCTTAACCAGTTTACATGTGTATTCGGTCATAATATACATAGGAAGGAGTAACCGAGTCATGTTATTGATGGCAGGAGAACATGTATACCCAAATGACTTAAAAAGGAGATGGTCAGAGTGAAACTTTGACTATGAATAACCCAAATCGTCTTCAAAATGTAATCCAGTAAATACTACTGTTCCTTCCCTGTATATCATACATTTAATAATAAATTAACTAAAACTGAATCAGATCCCATGAAATGCTTCACAGTAATCAATAACCAAAAGATCTCGTCCCTACTTCCAATTAGTGAAGTCGTCACTATCCGACAAGTTCAACCCAGAACTTCATGTTTGAAAAGGTAGACAGTTATCAATTGACTAACCATCATGCAGGAGGAATTGCATATACGAATATTCTTGTCAAAGAAATTCAACAAAGTGTATAATTAGACAGATATATCACTAGATATGAGAATATGTTTGGCTGGTTACTTTGAAAAAATAATCAAGTGTAACTTCTCAACGAATCTTTAACATAACTTAAGCTAATCCAATCAGATTCATTAAACTTGTGAACTACTGTGAATTTAGACTGATCAACTTGAAAGATTATTATTCCTCTCCCTTGGTATTCAATGAACTAAACATCAATTTCAGTGATACTAATCACCAATATGATCACTTTATTCATTATCTATTAGTTAAATAGAAGCAATTCAGATTGTGAATACACCACACCAGTGTCAACAAACACTAAACTTAACTAATGTGAAGGAGATCATCTTGCCAATTCCATCCATCTATACACAATCAACATCTATCAGTATACATCACTATGATCAGTTACATAGTGATATGATTAACAGAACTCTACACTGGACAACATCATATTGGTTACACTCCAATAGCTATCAGTCAATAGATCTAATCTAGTCTTACCACAGATCGATCCTCACCTGTATGCCACATTGGTAACGTCTATGATTTCAATACTGGTTGAACTGAATGGTCTAAAATCTTTTCTGTGTAGTAACAATCAATGCCACCCACGCACTTCTCTCTAAGTCATTTGACCACCCTAACTACTCTCCTGAAATGACCAATTACATTTCGTCATTTTATTTCAAAAAGCTAACTACCTTCCCAAACGAAATACTCAGAACTGATTAGTTAATTCATCAGTTACTAAGATCCTCGTGAAAGTCACTGGAGTCAAACAAAATACACAGTAATAACAACCAGAGTAGGAAAGATATCACATTTGAAAGTTGGATCCATATACTGAACCCATTCAAAACAGGTACACACTTCTTTCAAATTAGCCATCACATAAACAAGGGTTTCGATAACTTTTTCTATCCATCTGAGTTAACCATAAATATGTTAATGTTCACTAACACCTAAGGAATATTTTAAATGTTCAATGTTTCTTTTTGGATTCAATCAGAAATCGATACTTATACTCATCTACTATCACCAATTCAATTCAATCGTTATACCACACTTCACGAGATCCCATCCGAATCCCAATGACCAGTGAACCTTGAAACAGAACTTCACATATTGCCCGACTAGTCAACATTCACACGCATCTACATCTTCCATCTCCATGTTGGAACTGTAGACAATTCAAATTTGTGATGTACTGCCCACATTAAACAGCATACACGTATAAAGATGGAATCGTCTGCTCCGTCAATAACAAACCAACTCAGGCAAACCTAAAGGTTATAGATCATATTCGTGTAACACCAACCCATCGTCGAGCTGAACGTTCAGTGAACACGTCCCAAACATCCTTGATAAACCTACAAAGTAGAGGTGACATCAGACGAAGACTTTCTAAATTCTTATCCGCAGAACAGATCAACAGCAAAAACCCTCACCTATGCAAGCACGTCTTGACTAAAAACTCCAACTGATTCTAGACGCTATGCTCCCTAAGGTGAACAAAAGGAAGCTGGGACATAAGTATACAGTGCTGATATAATAAAAAACATGCGGGACTAAGCCTGTATCCTTTAAACCAGATGATACTGTCTATGTTAAAGTGGGTGTGAGAAACTACACGCCAATCAGATATGTTGAAATAACGTGGAAGTCAATCAGCTTCCAATCTACGTCTTCTCATAACCACCTTCAGTAAAAGTAAACAACCTTGAAGAAACCGATCAGTATGATGCAGACCAACTATCGTCATCCATCATATGAGAGAAGGGGCAAATGTTGTATCCATAGACAAAAGGAATGAGACACACGAATATCCTTCATTTGTCTGCCTTCGTTCTCTACGGCTTTGTACACTTCCAATATATGTTGGTAAATACAAATAGTAGTACACCAGGCGGGATGGTCATCAAAATTCATCTTGTCTCTGATTCATCCAGTGTGGTGTTAGCGGCTGTGAGATCAACCCTCATACATTAACTTGGGCATTGCCCCCCTCCCCCAAACGGTTAAAGCCAGTAATAAAATACCAGCGACGTGGTTAACTCAGACATACAGCATCAACCCTCATGAGTTTAGAGAAATGTTTTGCTGACGATTCCCAGTTAGTATGAGACAAAGGTATATGCTTGTCTTCTGACTGTCTCCAGCCACCTAACCCCCATTTGAAGTACAGATACCCTGTGAAATGCATATATGTTTGTTGTACATCATTGTCTTCATTCCAAGGAGATTGTTTCACATTGCCTGACTAATTTTCTATCATTCTTAAAGTACAATTGAATTCACATCTCTGAGCTAATCTCCACCGCATAGAACTTCACACTTCGATGCTTACTCATGGAGTATGACTTCAACTCTGATTTCTGTCTTCAATATCATTGATAGGAGGTTCGCTTTATTCCTCTCCCAAGTCAGAAATTCATTCCTATCATTATTAGGTGAGAAAACAAGATAACCATTGAATTTATATAGTCCATACATTGTGAAGTAAATAACCACCGAACATTCAAATCTCATTCCTTATCTGATTACAAGTGTATTATCATAATCATGTTGTGTAGTTCTAAGCAGTGACTAATTTCTACCTGACAATTGTACAGTATGAGCATACCATGATGTTAGTTAATTCACCATTCTGTCTGTTGAATTGTTAACTATCAGCAAGGTCTCCTTTCTTTCTAACGTCTTCAAACAAGGGGGAATTAAAGTTTCTATAATCATCTGTCACAAGCATAGACTCCTCGAGTAAGTTTGCCTTCACCAGTCAGTCTATTGATGCCTTACTTATTCAATGATTAAACACTTATGTTCTTCTTCCAGTTATTGCTCATTTGTATTTCTTCACCCTTTCTGACATCTTCACGGTTGACTGGATTCACGCACTTCCATTCTTCCTAACTAACTTTATCCTATTCATTGTCAATTATCACTGCTTTTGGTGTCACCTTCTTCTTACTTGTTAGTAATTCGACTGTGACTCATTGTATAACACAGTCACCTTTCAAACAGTAAGTCACTGGTTAGCACAGCTAAGCAACCAGGTACTATCACTATCTCTCAAACAGTTGGTGCAGCTCATTACCTACTCCACGAACATCGTAACGGTACTCAGTCCATTTCTATCTCCTGTTCAATCGCCACATGTACATATGTGCATCAAAAAAGCCGCATTGTTTTCAACTGACTCAGCTGATTTCATTTACTCTTTACTCGGGGGTGTCACCCAGTGAAAATTAGGTTGTTATGATATTCCATAGGGAGTGTTGAGTCTTCAATTGAATTCACTAAAGAAGCTTGATGTGAAACTCCTACAGAAATGGCTTACATCTCTCAGCCTTCATAGCGATTAACATCCACCTTCTCATTTCATCACAAACATCATCATCATACTCTCAGACCAGCTTATGTTGTATTCTTTCTGTTCAATATATGATACAGCTGTCTCTGACTGGTGTCCAATCAACATGACAGTATCTTTGGAAAAAAACAACATCAGAATTGGGAAAGATATTGGCTAAAGTCTCTCACACATGAACAATTCAACACCGTTGTCCTTATTCACTGTCTTTTATTCCTCCACATTATCATTCACACCAACCATAGTCAACTGAAATTTAAGCCAGAACAATACACTTCAATCTCTTCCTCCAGTTGGCGTCCCACTAATTCATTACCACCTACGACTTCTGTGCAAATTCACATATCATCTCTGTAAATATTGACAACATCGTGACGTTAGTTTAACCGTAAAAAAACGGCTTTACTAAGCTTCGATGAGGTCTGTTCTGCTCTACGTCTCTCCAAGCTGAGGATATACAATGACTCTATGTCTTCGATCATCCATGTCTCCGTAGGATCGCTAGCATCCAGTGAAGGTTTGGAGATCGTCATTCAACAAATCAAGTCATCTGGATATGACGACTTCGCTGGCTTTTACACATTCTACGCTGATCGTCCCAACGTCTTCCACACCGTTCATTGTTCACTAACCCTGAGACTCAATAGAAGAAGCAAAGAGGGGTGGTCAGTCTATAACGTGGTGCCATGGGATGAAGGATAGTTGTATCGAGTTAGTATCTGTTGGCAAATCACCACCCCGTAGGCACTGATAAACACTCAAACCCATCCACCCAACTCAGGAAAAAACCAACTTCTTGGTCATAATCAACACTAGTAGTTATCTATTTATTTCATAAGAGAATTACAATAGTTCATTATTTACTTCTCTTTCTTATATTGAATGAAGAATATGATCGGTGTAATGGATATACTCAATGATATAGCCAATGTGATAATATTATCCATAAATGGTGATGTAGTTAAAAATGCATATTGAATTAAACTGAATAGTCCAGCTATAGTACTAGAGATACCATTCAATGTACCAAAATATCGTATAGGGAAAACAGATAATAGAAAACTAATAAATGAACTAAACAATAATGATCGTATAACAACAAGAAATAAGAAACCAGCATAACATGCTATATAATGTGGAATAAACATCATTATACTTAATAGTATAGCAAATATTGCCATTAAACTTAATGATGGTACCAATCCATTGACTAGAGTATAATAAATCATATTACTAGTAGAATAATCAACTTGATTATTATTATTTTGATGATGAATTAGGATAATCTGAATTTTTTTACGGGAATTTCTTAAAAAATAATCAATTATAGTACCAGTTAACGGAGCTATAAAGAAACCACACATAAAGAAACCAGATGATGCTGTTAATAAATGAATTTTCATTATTTCATTATTGTTAAACATACTACTGATATGTTTAACAAAATGATTTAAATAAAAAGAGAAACGAAATAAACCCAAAGTGAACCAAATATTAATTAATAGATAAGAAGATGAAAAGAGACAACTTTTTAAGGTTGGATAACGTTCATCTAGAACTAAAGAGATTTCATTGAATACATCAATTGTTGTAGATGTAGATAAAGGCTCATCATTACTTGAAGGATCCTGTTAACAAATGAAAATATCAGTGAATATAATCGATAATTATATGAATAAGAATAGAAATAAGAAAGTTATTCAAATTGAATCAATAATCATTTAACTTCAATCTTCTACTTTCCCTACTTCGCCTATTGGAATTGTCTTTATGCTTTGAATGAAGTTTCCTTGGCGATTCGGGGGAGGGGATAAGGTGACTAGCCCTATGCCCAACCTTCCATCTTTATCCGCGCTAATAACTAGTGAACTAATTGACCAAGTCCTTCGACAGAATGCTATAAAACTGCTGAAATACACGAAAGCAGCAAGACCAGATAAAATTCCTCCAGAAAAGCTGAAAATAGACGCAGAGACAACAGCGGAAATGCTCACATCACTACTGCAGAAAGTTAGGTCGCATCATCCTAGACAGATGCTGTGGATTCAAAATTACAACCGGAATAAGCTGGCTGACTGGCTTCACGAAGAACAAATCATGTGCGGATCAAATTCCAACCCTACGTTACGCATCATCATAGAACCGAGTATAGAATGCCAGTCAACTCTCTACCTTACCTCAACTTCATCGACTTTGAAAAGGCCTTCGAAAGCATCGACCGAGAAGCAATTTAGCAGGCAGTTGCTTCAACACTACGCGGTGCCACTAGTCTTTACCAAACTCATTCAACAGCAGCTATATGAAGACCCCACGTTCCAAGTGATCTACATCATCATCATCATTATCAACATAGGACCAGGCATTACTGCGTAACGGTCCGAGTTGCCACACCTCACGTCAGTTCATCAAGTAAAAAGGTAGTGAGGTGAAGGATGAAGATGAGTGAATGCAGTCAAAAGAAATATAAAGTACCAGAAGAAAGGAAAGAGGAGTGACAAAATGGTGAGATTCGGTATGGCATTGTTAAGATCAGGATAATGTGTGTATACATCTGCGCCACTGACATCGGTTCTCAGCCATGTGATCATCTACAGTCTCCAACCACTGGTTCCTCTTGTCCCGCCGACCCCAACCACCTAGTCTGTATCGTCCTATATGGCTTAAACCAACAGTCAGAGACTTCATACATTTGTGCCATGTTTTAGTCTGGCCACCTCGGGCCTTTTTCCAGCCTGGACCCACCTCAGCCAACATTGTGTGACGAGGCAATCGGTGACTAGGCATACGTAGTAAGTGTCCCAACCATCTCAGTCGATGAAGGTTCACAACCTCGTCAACTGACTTACCTCTTCTCCCCAAAACTCTACACCTAACTTCTGCATTACTCACATGGTGACACCACGGAATACGGCCTACAACACTACGAAGGCAAGGGTGGTCAAACACCCCAAGCCCTTTTGTATCCTCCAATTTCAATGACCATGTGTCACAGCCATACAGCAGAACACAGGCGGACTGCTGTGCAGTACACGCGACCCTTAATAGACAAACGAATATCACGGCGGCGCCATAGGTGGCGCAAATTGGCAAAAGCCAATCGAGCCTTTTGTATCCGTGCAGAAATCTCATCGGCAACTAACCCACCAGGGTTGATCCTACTTCCCAGGTAGGTGAAGTGGTCAACACACTCAACCACTTCACTCTCTATTGTTAGCCGCGGTAGGGTGCCGCTGAAGACCAGTCCTGGAGCAAAAATTTGCATTTGGGTGGTGAAAATCGCATCCCAAACATTCTCAAATTCCCACTCAAAGTGTTCACAAGACTCTGCATCTTGTCAGCGTCTTCACATGACTAACAGGACTATGTCATCTGCATATTCTAGATCTAAAGAAACATCACCTGTGATTGGGTCAACGTCTGTGTAATTAGGTGACGAGAGGGAAACCTCCATAAGAATATCTATGATAAAATTAAATAAGAATGGGGATAGTGGGCATCCTTGACGGACACCATTTGATGAGTATAGATCCCTGGACAACTCGCCGTAGGCTCTAACATGCCCACAAGTCTTCGAGTAGAGAGCTTTCAATAACGTGATGTACTTACTAGGCACGCCTTTCAGTGACAGACATTGCCATAAGACTTCTCGATCAACGGAGTCAAATGCCGACTTCACATCGAGAAATACAGCTATTGTCGGGCGTCTGTAAGCATGCCTATGTTCCAGGACCTGGCACAGTGTGAATATTTGGTCTATACACCCGCGGCCAGGTCTAAAGCCTGCCTGGTTTTCTCGGGCTTGCTGTTCCCGAGCTCCACTCAGGCGTCGGAGAATTATAGAACCTAGGATCTTAGACACTATGTTCGTCAGGCTGATTCCTCTGTGGTTATCACAAGAGGACTTCTCGCCTTTCTTGAAGACTGGGATGATGAGTGACTTCGACCAGTCAGAGGGGATCGCATTTGATTCCCATATACTGGCTAACACTTCCGTTAACCTGACTAAGAGCACTCTACCACCATTCTTGTATACCTCAGCAGGTAGTCCGTCTGGTCCTGCTGCCCTTCCCGTTTCAGGCTACCTATCGCTTTCTCAGCTTCTTCTAGTGTTGGGGGC